AGATTTGTTTGCAAACTTTTAAGCACTTTGAAGTAAAACCCTGCTGTGCGCGTGGTGGGTGTGCGTGTGGGGAGCGGTATCAGCAGACTGTAGGGTCAAGTGCTGTTAGCGAGCACCTATGAAGGCCGGCACGGCACAAGAGGGGGTGAGTGGGCAGCACCACGCCCGGCCGCCTTTGTCTCCCCGGTGGCGATGTGTTACACATCACACCAGGTACTCATTTGAGGCTGAGTCGACCTAGGGGAGGCCCAGGAAAGGTTTAGATAATCGTCACTGGTGGTGGCCGTGAGCGAGAATCGAACTCGGGTTGCCAGGTTCGTAGCGCTAACCGCTACACCACCGTCTTTGTCTTCGGGGAGCGGCAGTGTAGTGGTTAGTGCGCTACGCTACGAACCCGGCGTCCCGAGTTCGATTTCCGCTCACGGCCAAATGGATGACGAATATCTGTAGCGGTCCTGGGTCGACTCGGTCTCAAATGAGTACCTGGTGCTGTGTGTAAACATCTCCATAAGTGGTGAGACGAAGTCGGCCGGGCGTAGTGCTGGTCACCTACCTGCTCGTGTGCTGTTGCGGCCTTCATAGGTGCTCGCTCGCAGCACTTTCCCCAACAGTCTGTGAAAGCTATACGGGGGATCTTTCTTTGTTGAATACAAGTGGCGAGTCAAGCCAAGGAAGGGTACTGGAATGCTGCCCTCGAAGAGAATGGGGTCATTGTTTCATTCCCCCTCCAACTCCGGGGGAAATCAGGCGAGTGATGATGATCAGTGTCCCGTCAGTGTTGTGTCGTGTGGAGATGCAGTCAGACGTTGCCAACGTCCCAAGTTCAGTTTTAGTTTATTTTGAAGTACCCTGTGAGCCAAGAAGCACTTAAGTCGGGTTTCATCAATAAAAACCACACGCCGTTTCCGTGACAGACGTAACAGAGGAAAATTAATGAATAGTACAGATTAATATATTTTTTTAAAGGTAAGAAATTATGAAGTTAGCGTGGTGTGTTTTACCTTACCTACCTACCCACCCACCCACGCATTCATGTCCACGCGCACTCGCAACGGCGTTATTTCAACTTTTGCACGCGTCCCACAATTCCCGGCTACGTTTGTTACAAAAAAAAACCGACAGAGAAGTATGAATGTATGTCTTCACAAGAATAACGCGTGCAGTATCCATCGACTGACTTGCTGATGCGGCTTCGATAGGTGGCGCATGGGGCACGATGAAATGCGGCAGCAACGTTTTGCTGAAGTTCACTTTGAAAGTACATGAGTTGATTTCGAAACGGATCAAATCTGTTGCTCACGTGCTCTTGTTAAGCTACCTATTCGTATGGCAATTGACAAAAAATATAGAAACTAGTCATCAGAAAATATTTTCTAACGTAATTCTCACCATGCGCCGTGGTGTGGTGCATTTCTTTCTCCAACTCTTCTCACTCTCTGTATATGTGTATGGTCTCTCTGTTTGTGTGCTATGAAGCTCTCTCCAACTCTTTTCTCTCTCCAACTCTTCTCACTCTCTATATATGTGTATGGCCTCTCTGTTTGTGTACTATGAAGCTCTCTCCAACTCTTCTCACTCTCTCTATATATGTGTATGGTCTCTCTGTTTGTTGGCGAACAAAGCCACAACATTTACAATCTGAGTACGACGTTTCGCCAGTAATTACAACTAGCTTCATCAGGCGGACAGCCAGATTTTTAACGACACATTTATATTTACGCGATCTAACCCAACCCCCCCCCCCCCCCCCCCCCCCCTATATTACGTATGATACTGGTCACGAAAGCCTACGACGTGTTAAACTACACGTGCATTTGTTGACGTCTTTCTGGCTGCCCTGTAGTGTTGCGAGGGGGGGGGGGGTAGCGGACTGCCCCCCTCCACTCAGACCCCCCCCCGTGCCCCCCCCCCCAATGATCCGATCGAAATACCGAATTTCGATCGGATCATTGGGGTTAGTAATAAATCGGAATTTTGCGACCCCTACTGCCACTGTGTAGCATGTTATTACGTGCCAGGGACTCTATGAGATGATAGGACAATAGTCTGGGTCCATAATTGGCAATAAATAACGGCAAAGCAGTTATAAGTGACTCACAGAATTGTGAGCAGCTGCGTCTACAGTCCACGACTTCCCTGAAGGCAAACACCTTCAGCGAGCGCGATGGCGATCACAAAACGCGGTTCCAATTCGACCCTCGATCGATGGCTGCGCCATCACTGCACACGCATCGAATAAAAATCAAGGGACAAGTCCTTACTAACAAGTCCTTACTTACTAACAACTCCTTACTAACAACTCCTTACTAACAACTCCTCACTAACGACTCCTCTATCATTTTTCATTGCTGGAGGGGTTGCCCCCCCCCCCCCTACCTGATAATCTTGGCTCCGCCATTGCCCACAGGTGCTACGATGTAGTTACGATGTAGCTCGTTTAACATTGGCTATGTCGTGCCCCCCCCCCGCTGGATGTATGTATATGCCCCCCCTAAACAAAAATAATCATTAGCGTCCTCATTGTGGAGAATACATATGCAGAGCTACACATATATTAACTTGTGTCTCTGCACACGAAACAAATAAAAGTATCCTGTACACGACCCATCGGGTCCCACAGCCTTCTGGAAGTGAATGTCAGCAAGCATTGATTCGGCACAAGAAAACTCTGCACCGGCTTAGAGGTACAGTGTCTCATCAGCAGAGTCTGGCTTGCTTAAATCATTGCTGGCGAACTGCGAGATGTCATAGGCAAGGACCCTCTCTTTAAGATATGGCTTCCCAGTTGCATGGAGCATTATATAATACATAATTCAAACATATTCATTATTGTCATTGTGGAGACTATAAATAACGAAACAGATCAGCAGACAATACGTCTCCTTCACAAACCTGTCTCTGCACACAAATCATCAAAAACATTTTTTTTTTTACACAACCCCATCATCGGCCTGCCTTTCATTCTGAGAGTGAATAATTTTAGCGGCGTTGAACTCCTTTGAACGAGGTCACACTTGTGGGCTTTCCTTGTCTCGCTTGTCTGGGGATCTTGGCAAGGTGCACCCAGGCACGAGCCACAGAAAACGTCCTGCAGTGCCGCGTTCCCCCCCCCCCCAAAAAAAAAACTTCCCAAACGTCCGCGGCTTTTCCGACCACGCTTCCCACGCCCGCCAGCGTTGTAGCCTCGCCCGGGCCCATCTTCCTTTTGCCAACAAATACGGCTCCCATGTCCGCCTCGAATTCATCACCGCTTGTTGATGATTGCGGACCAAATGAAATCGGGGCACGGAGAAAGGAAATCGACCGGCTCTCTCTCAAGTGCGCTGATAAATGTACAACGCAAACTACCAATCACAAAGCGGTTTGGCCGAAGTTAATGGTGCCCATCCATAATGCCCCGTTTTTCACTCAGAATACGTGACGGTCGCACAGAGATACATATGCAACTGCGGAGATAACTCAACGGCGAGCTCTGAATCGCGTTATAGACTCTGCGATGTGCTCTCAGGCCGTACCACGTGTCCGATGTTCTGCTCTGCTCGCTGCTGGGAGGTTGTTCATTTCATTTCCTCAAGGAGCTCCCGGCTCAAGCAGTGAAACGTCGGGCATCGTGCCAAACTGCACGTGGTATAACCCCGAAAGTACATTGGAGAGCCAGAGAGCCCAACCACAACAATCCTACGTGGTCATATCTAATCTTCATTATTCATAGATTTAATAAATTATAAGTGCTTGTTGGTCATAGCGGACTCATTCTGAAAATGTGTTTTTTTCTGCAGTACTGATGAGTAATGTCTTTTAATTATTTTTGAAAGATCTAGTGTATTGTGACGCCTCAGAGAAAACATGTAACTCTTTCTCCATGGTTAATCTATCCGCAGTTAATTTTATTATGAGAGAGAGAGAGAGATCCTGGCGGTTTTGGGAGGCTTTCATCAGAAGTGGATTGACCATGGCTGATGATGATTTTAGGATTGCGCGTTGCATATTGGCATGTTTATCATTGAATGCTTAATTGAATTTGCTCCTACAAATATTAATTTAAAAGTTAAAGTCTTGCTTGTTTTTGCAAGCGTTTTTTGTGGATACTTTTTATTATAGGATACATTACAGCTAATGAGCTATATGCTGCTGTCTAATTAACATAATTAGCCATTGCTTTTTATGAAGTATTCAGAACACCATGCATATTTAAAGCAATATTTGTCATATAACGGAACATTAGCAAAAAGTTTTCCTTCATGTAGTTGAATTTTGAGTGGAGGAGGTAAACATATTAATGATACGCCTAGCAACTAAATAATAACAAAACAGTAGCTCTAAAACATGAATTGTTGTAACGTGGTCTTCCAACAGTCATTCTAATCGTTACCGTCATTATCATCAGCCATGATCAATGCATTGCTTCATGAAGGCATCCAAAAGCCACTGCCGCCTCTCACTCTCCTCCAATGTTATAATCCGCCCAACACCTTTGCACACGGGCTGAATTCATCGCTCCATTGGATGCATTTCGCACAGCGCCAATGGCAGTTAGCTGCAAAGGTTAAAGGCGCAGCCCTGCAATTGCTCATCGACTCCATTGGTGACGGAAGCGCCTCCACTAAAGTTGAGCTCTTAGACATCTCGAGTGCATGGGGCCCACTCTTCCACGCTTGCCAGACATTTCGGAAGAGGCGGGAGTACGCACACTTTACCCCACCACACGCCACCTGTCGATCAATCAACGGTGGCCTTCCCAATTATATCTTAAGTATGTTGAACCTCTTTCGCACCGTACGTAGCCAACCGCGCTAATCGGAGGTGCAGAGGAAGGACAAGCAACTACAACACACACACACAAAGCGGCAGTTCTAAACAAGTGAATTGTTCAATCGAGAATTAAACAAACATTAACACTGCTCGGTTTGAGACCGAGGCTTCGGCCGGGCAGCGGGAGTGAAGAAACTTGGTGGCACGTGAACGCGATCGGTGATTCCCCGGCGTTCGTGTCTCTGCAGAACATGCTGTCGCAGGCGGTGGAAAAGGAGACGCGCCACGAGTTCGCTCTCACCATGATCCAGTGCAAGGTACGTCCAGCTCCGACCCCCCCCACCACCCCCCCCCATTGCTGTCCGAGACGTTCCGCCGTCTCACCTTTAACGAGGGGGGGAACGTTGTAAGACATTTCTGTGTCGTATTGTTAGTGCTGTAACTTTGTTTCTTTATTGCTGTGAAACGCACAAGCCCCGTGCAACGCGTCCATGGTTCGTTTGGGGGGGAGGAGGGGCGGGGGGTTGGCGGGGGGGGGAGGGGGGGAATGGTCGTTGGTGCCCTCCCTGTGGGGGTCTTCCATCGGCGGGGGGGGGGGGGGGCGGTCCTGCCACGGAGACGTTGCTGACATTTAATTATCATCCTGTACCCCCGTCGTGCATAGTGGAGTCCCCGACTCGCATTCGGCCTGTCTCTCCTGCCTCTCTATCCGCTGTGAAGTAGGCTCATTGCCCGAAACGTCGCCGATTACGTATTGTTGTCCTTTGTATGCCACACGCGTAGTGTTATTGGCGAACGTGCTGAGTGTTTTTTGTCGTTGTTGGTAATTGTGCTTGTGTGTGGGTTGGCTGTATCTCTCGTCTGGCTGAGGAGGCACAGAAGAGGCCTGGATCTCTTTTCCATGCCGAAGCATTTTTTTAAAAAAAATTTACTCCCAATTATTGTTATCACCATGCAGAGCACAAATTCGGACGCAGTTGCAATCCTGCTGTTGTCAATTTCTTGGCTGGATATCTCAGTTCCTACCTCACTGCACCCAAGATAATTCAACATAAAGCAGGCATTTGCATGTTATTTGCACACATTTTTAAAACGTTGTTAAACTTGCATTTTCGACGTGTGTATTGTGAGGCTGAGAATCCGTTTTTAATTAATATTTTTTTGCGAATATTGACTACCTACTCGTGTGCGTGCATGCGTGTTTTCACTGAGTCATGTAGCCCGCATGCCCAGCCACCACCTGCCTAAACAGCTTAGAAGGGGCTAAACGGGCGCGGCACGGGCTAGAGAAGAGATGAAGTGATGTGGTACAGGGGGATGTGGAGCTGAGTGGACTGGTGCCAGCGGTGTCAAGATCGGCCTCTATGAAGGCGGCTCCTGATGGACGCTATTGGGCAGTGGGAGGCAGTCGCCCTCCAGCAACAACGGAGGGCAGAGGAGCGACGCTCACAACAACGAGCGGAGCACCTGGTGGCTAAAGCACAGCAAGTTGGCACAATAGGGGGCACAGGTGGTGCATCAGCCAGTCATCTCAGTTTAGGCAACCCATGGCACCTGGGTCTGTCCCGTGAGCTCCTGCCAGCGGACATTCGACACTTCACGTGGCCTTAACGTGCACATAGCCTGGCACAAGCGCCGTGGGGACGTCACCGCCACTTAGTGGCGAATGACGGTTGCTGTTGTCGTTGTTGTTGTATTTTCCCCAAGTCGACTTTCACCACCAACGTTGGCCGTGCTCGAACCGTTCACCAGGTGCTCAAGCAGCTGGAGAACCTGGAACAGCAGAAGTTTGAGGACGAGGACGTGGTAGAGGACATCAAATTCATGCTGGAGAAGCTCGGAGAGAGCGTGCACGACTTGAGGTGGGAAAACGGAGCGAGAGAGCAAGAGAGAGACAAAGACACCCTCGGGCAGGAGATGGAATGAAAACGCTTTCGCATCGGCGATGAAGATGATAATATTTTACGGTTTTCGATATTGAGATCGTAAAGATTGCAACCGTGCAAAAAATAAAAAAAGCTTGTGCAGGCAATAAAATAAAAACAAGGAAACTGATGCCACTTAATAGCACAATTATCTCTGCTCTCTCAATTTAAAGAGCACATTTACATTTTTTGTGAATATTGTCGCTCTGGCGCTCACTGACTGCACTAGTTACCAGCAAAATTGAAAAAAATACTTCACTAGAATGCTGTTCTGGTGTCTCAGTGCCACTGGGACGCTTGTCCAATCTTGCCAGCATGTTTTCGTGCAATAATTTTTTTGTCAAATTACTTTGAGGAGCGTCAAGATTGTGTTTAATACGGAAGGGGACCTGAGGTGCAACTTCCATAAATGTTTTACGAAGCACCTTGGTTCTGTCGCCGAGTTATCTGGCGAACCCAGAATCGCTCTTCGTGACACTGACAGAGAGCCTCGCGCGGACAAATCTATCACCGTGTCTTATGACCTCCCCCCATATGCACCGTTAACGTCCCACAAGGGCGTCGGTTCGAGATGACATTACGACGACTCTGCTGTTCGCAGGAGGCCCTTTCTTCACACATGGACCCCGTTGTTGTTTGGCTCTAAAACGAAAGGCCCCCCCCCCCCCACTCTCTCTCCTGATGTAACTTACACTGCGAGGCAGGCGGTGGTGTTGGTCAATGCGAGTGTTCCAACGGTGAAAGAGGTTAATAATAATATTATTTTGTGTTGGAATATTTGCGCTTGCGGGTAACACTTTTCAGAGTCAGGGTTAGACACGAACACATTCTTATCGTATTCTCTCGAAACGTAACTAACGGGATGGCGTGCTGGCACATTGGTTAGCGCACTGCGCTACGAACCCGGCGATCTGAGCTCGACGCTCAGTCACGGCTAACATCGGTGACGAGCGGCATCTGAACCGGTCCTGCGCAAGCGCCCCCCTTCACCGATCAACACGGCGTCGGGAGGTCTTCATCCAGCAGCAGATTAATGAAGAATTTAAAATGATTTTTCGTATGAAATAGACTCAGAGAAAACGGTGGTTGGTGTCATTCGAGGGTCTAAAGAGGGATGGTCGGTACAATTGGAGGTCGACGGTTCGATTCAATCTCCCGTTGTGGAATTTTTTTACATTGTGAATATTTATTAAATTGCCTCCTGCACCCCCCCCCCCCCCGCCGCCACCTCTGTCCAAAATAGCAGCAATGGTGTCACCGCAAGGACGCGTGCCGTGGGGGTAAAAGTGTGGATATTCCCTCCTTGGCCGAAGAACGTCCGGCCTAGCGTGCAAGAGTGGGCCGACGGTCCACACGACTCTTCTGGTGGCCCTCCCAACCAGCAGCAGTGGCACGAGCAAACAGCCGCAGGGCCCACTCCCTTACCTTCGCCCTCGTTCTTGTTTTGGCAGCTCTTTCGACGAGTACTCGGCGGAGCTGAAGGCAGGCCGCCTGGAGTGGAGCCCCGTGCACAAGTCGGAGAAGTTCTGGCGCGAAAACGCCGCTCGGCTCAACGAGAAGAACTACGAACTGCTCAAGTGAGTGACGGGCCGAGCTCGCACCTCGCCCCCTCCCCCCCCGCCCTCCCCGGCGTTTGTGCATCGTGAGGGGTGAGGGTGGTAATGGGGCAGAAGATTGCCTCTTGCGATGGCCGTGTTGTGTAGTCCGAGTCCTTTTTGTTTTGCTGCCAGCTTTATGTCGGTGATGTAGTCAGGTGCTCCACGCAATTGAATACCAGCTGTCTGCCCAGTTGGCACGGGGCGCTGTGTGCTGGGATAATAACTGTGGCGGACTTGGCCATCTGCGCTGCGGGGGACGGTTTTAGTTGGGCCAATTAGTTGGCTTCATTTCCGATTTATTTGAGCACAGTATGCCAGGTGCCCGGCACTGCACAAACATTGTGCTGCTGCTCTTTGCGAATGTTGTCGTGCCAGAAACTTTGACGGCAGGAATACCTTTATCCTAATTGTGCAAGGCCATCGCGGCTGTCTTTCTGTTCCCGAGGTTAGCACTCAATGTGCATGTGGAAAAGACGGTGTCAGGTTTCGGGTGTTGTGCCTCTCCTCTCTACGTGGATGCTTTTTTGTGTACAAGGCAACTGCGGAGAGTGTCGTTCTAACGCGTTAATATTTACAGGCTGCTCAAGACTCCCCCCCCCCTCACCTCGACATTGTGACTTTCTCTCTCTCTCTGTGTGTCTATTGACTGCGATGCATTGTTCAACCCAGTCGGCGAGCATCCGGTAGCTGTCAAGGGGTTTTCTTTAAACTCGCCGTGCCTCCAGATTAACAGGCAGACGAATAAGAGCATGAGACGTGACCACAAAAATAACAAACTTGAATCTTGAGTGGCATCTCAAGCTGCCACGTTTAAGCAAGTCCGTGCGTGGTTTTGTGTATGAGTGTGTGTGCGTGTGTCGTTGGCGATCGTTAAAACTCGAAGAATGGTTTCAAACTTTCTGAACTGGCAGCTGCTGCTTCTTGGTGACAGGCTTAGGTCGTGGTCAAGCGACGTTCTTTTTTAATTTTTTTCCCCAAGCAAAAAATACTTGAGTTAAACGATTAGTTTCATGACGAAACATATATCTACGTATAGTTTATGGAAGATTGCGCGTGGATTAGTTGATAAAATAGATTGCTGCCAGACTGTTGAGATATCGAAGGCAATGCCAGGGACTGCTGCAGCAAGCACTTGAAATTTGAGTAAGCAGGTTACGAGCAGTGTAAGCCTTTCCTGAAACCAAACGGATAAACTGAATTTCTGCGTGTAGGCGAAAGTATATTGCCTATCCAGATGTGTTCGTCCATTGCTGGTAAATCATTGAAATTATTGATCCAAACATTGAAACGATTGACTACTTAATTTGGCCTATCTGACCAGTGTGGAAGAATAGGCCAAATACCTTATAGAAAATTTCCCTTGAGCTTTCTGAAGTGGAGGTCCTTCCAACAGCAGTGGCATTGCACAATACATTGCAGTGCTGTACCTTTAACTTTACTATCAAGCGATAATGTATACGTGAACATTATAAGTTAGTTATCTCATACATGTCAACCCATACGGTTTACCACATATTCTTGTTCAGGGAAATTGAGTTTTCAGGTCCGTACGGCGTACAGCCGTTTCAATACGGGCAACATAATTTTTTGTCTATTTGTTTGTGTTTCTCCCTTGTGATGGGACTTTGTAGGATGAACGTTGAGATTTATAAGGGGCACGGGGTGACCAATAAGGTCTGAATTGCTCTGTAATAAGGTAGGGCACTGATAAGGGGTTGACAGGTATGTTATCTACCTGAATATCAAGATGTCATTATGGGGAGAGCCGTTTGTGCGATACCACTGGTAAACAATAGTTGGAGGGAGGAGTGGTTGCAGTGGCTCGATCATTGTGCTATGGACCGCGGTGACCTGCGTTTGATTCCTTGCATTGGCTCACATCAGTGGCTCAGAGTGACATCCCAAGCTGAACCGGTCCCCAACTTCATAAAATCTCACTGACCAAAGTGGTGAATTACGGTACAAATAATTGCTGACGGACAGCACGAGGGAGGCCTTACCCAGCTGTAGATCTGGAAAATGGCTCTTAATTGTTATTCATTGATTTATACAATATGTGTGACAAAAACATGTAATTAACTAGCATTAATCAATGCTGGTTGAGCAATTAATGCTGATTATTAAAATGCATTCCCTCTTGTGAGTGGTAAATAATGCATATTCATGTGCACAGCGAGCACCGCACTCCCAGTGATGATCATTTATGCGGCTTTCATTTATCACTATGTAACACAATTCTTTTTCCTGGGTACTGTGTCATTTTTCTAAATTGCTAATGCTTAAAAAGTATAGAAAATGGCCTATTATACCACACAAACTTTGCTTTTGTGACCAGGACTTCACGTGAACGAAAGACACAAATGCACACCGCGCTTTCTCATTGAAAATCGGTACGTTTCAAAATATCGCTGTCCTGGTGCAAGTGCTGTTCGCAAGCCGGCAGGGCGCACGAGGTGGTGGTGCCGGCTGCACCACACCCAGTCAGGTACTCATTTAAGGTTGAGTCGACCAAGAGAATGTCCAAAACCGGGGCTCACAGTCGCCACTGATGTTAGCCGTGGCCAGGAACCAAACCCAGGGTGCCAGGCTCGTAGCATCGTGCGCTAACCGCCTAGCTACCGGTTCCCCCACGCATACACACGCATGACTGCACACGTACACACAAATGCTCACTTGCAACTAGAACAGCAGAATGGATTTAAAAAAAAAATCTATTTAACAATCTCAAGCGACGCTGCTGTGCTATTAACGGCTAGCACACTGGACTTACAATCGAGAATGTAGCCGGCTCGAATCAATCTGCCGGCACGGCAGTTGAAACGGCGACGCCAGTTTCTGGAATCCCCGCTGCCTCTGAACAAACCGATGGAGCGAGTGGATTGGACCGGTCGCGAACGATGGGGGCAAAAGTGTGGCCGGCGCGGAAGAATAGGCCGACAATGAGCTCTAGAAGGGCTGTCTAGTACTCGCTCTGTTGGAGGCTCTGTTTTAAAAAAAATAGTTTGTCTAGAACTGCTTTTTGTGTTGAGATTATTGTCCTTCTCCCACGGCACCTCTGCCAGGCCAGGTGCACTTTGAGGCCACGTGAAGTGTCGAAGGCTCGCTGACAGGAGGAGGAGGTCTCGGGACAGAGCCAGCAGGTGCCATGGGTTGGCTGACTGAGACGAATTTTAGATGCACCCAGCTGTACCCCCTGCTGTGCCAATGTGCCCCTACAGCAGGGGGCACAGTTCAACGTACGCCTACATAGACACGTACATGCACCAGCAGTGGCGCGTGCAAGCAGTCGCAGGACTGCACCTTTTACCCCCTTGGTCAATTTGCGAAGAACCATTGCGGGGGTTAGCTCGTGAAGCCACCTACCTTGCCTTGGACAAGCGAGCGGACGCTCCCCCCAAACCCCCCCCCCGCCCCGCCCAAGTGTACCGCGAGGAGCAAAAAAAAAGGCAGACCAGATCAATTTATTTTAATTAAGCCAGCAATAAAGAGTCACATGTAATGTGATTTGAAGGTGGTAGCGGCATTATTGTGTGAAAACAAACTTCAGAATATCGTTGAAATAAAACCTGGGAGTGGCACTTTCTTAAAGTGGTTTCGCGCCATTTATCGCCCGCGCTAAATAATTTCGGCCCGAAAAAAGTATTTCTCCTAAGTCTTTATTTCACTTTGTAATTATTCCAGTCTCCCCTTTTAAAGTTTTACGATGCCCAGAGGGGCTGCAAAGGTTTCAATTGATAACTTTATGTATGGTTTCTAATCGTCAAACACTGAAAACCACGCAATTAATGCCACTTTAATTAAGAACAAATTGCGCGCTCTAAAGACAGCACCCAGTAAAAAAAGGTGAGAATGTAATTTTGTTACGAATTGCTAGTTGAAGTGAAAGAAACACACAGCGAGAGCGATGAGGGGTAATAACGTGACCGTACGTATAATGAGCACGAGCGAAAGTGGCTTGCACGCATTTACATATATAGTACATCTCCGTTTCCAATGAAAAACATTTAAAAAAATGTGCGTTGCTAAAACGCACCCTTCTACAGCATTATAACATTCCTTTAATAACGCCATAAAAATATTACCTACCCGCCGACCTCGGGAGCTTTTATTCCTAACGAGCAATCACATTTGTATTCCCGTGGCGACATCGTCGCTAACGACCTCAAGTGAGCACAGTCGACCCCCGCAGTAATGCGAAACGTCAAACGTCGCTCATCGAGATGGACACACACACATTTATATCTCTCCCGAAACGGTTGTCATTCATTTCTGCGTTGTTAATTAATTCAACAAAAAGGCAGCAAACCTACTTGGTAATGGAACGTGACCCCGGGTATAATCAGGAACAGACTTGTCAGCCGATATTTGCATTCGGCCTACACATTGCTATTACGGAACCCGGGATGCCGCATACCCTCGTGTGTATTAACATTTTGACCCGTGCTGCGGCCGGTGACGAGTTGGCGCGTGGCGTTTCGCATCGCGGCTCCTCGACTCGTTTGAAAGTCGCGGGTGTCTACGTACGACGGTGCTTCAAGTGCCTTTCGTTTCAGCAACGGGAACTTGCCAACGTTCACTCGCTTGAGCTGAACACCTGGCCGCGGCGACAGGCTGCGTCTGATGTTGGGTTCTTCGGCGAGTCTTTGAGAAACGTGGAAATGTCCGATCAGCACAGTTGGCATCGCACGGTGCTAAAGAGGTTCAACATACATACGTGGATTATTGCGCGCCGAACAGGGTGGTTCTGGAAGTGTAATTCGTCATCTCCAGTGCTTAACGCACTGCGTTGTGAATATGAACCTGGCAACCTGAGTTTCGGTTCTAGGTAATGGATAACATCAGTGGTGGTTTAAATCTGAACCGGTCCTGCACCCCTGCCCGCCCCCCCCTCCCCATCAACCCGTACTGACCAGCGTGGCGAAGTATGGATTAACAAAGGGGATTAAATTATTGCAATTATAAAGGCCCTTACGTGCATGCCCCTTGGAATGTTATTCCTGCGTATGGCACCAATACGTTTCGGAGCTAGATGCAAATGTCGAGATCTACTAGGCAGTAGAGGGCTTCGGGAGAGATTTCGTGTATTTTTTGCGGTTCCTCCAATTCTGTTGAAGGAGCTCAGACCACAGTGGTTTACTACGTGGTCCATAGTTCGGATTGCATGGCCACAATCGACACAACTCACGCCTTTGTGCCTTTAAAAGCGTTCAGTACTGATCACTGATATAGTTTAAGAGGCTTGGGCTGAATCAATTCTGCTGCAATTATTCACTCCCAGACTGCGTGGGGAGTAATGGGTTGGGTAAATAATACTTAAATTGTTGTCGTTGTTTCATGTGGAGAGACAGATGTATCGAGGCGATGTGTTGTCTGCCTATCCTATCCTGTTGACAAATTCAAAGAGTCGAGGAGTCTCGAGTCCCACCTGTGCGGCAGCCGGGGAGCTGGTGAGCATTGTGGACAGAATCACAGCTGTGCGGTTTCAGCGCGAGGATGGCCACAACGCCAAACAAAAAAACAGCATTGCCCCGCACAAAGCTCTCCGATTGTGTGCTCGTGTTGTGCCATGCGTCGTTCGGCGTGATGCCCGGACACCGTGTTCCATGTGCTGGGAGCTTCTTCGTCGGCCGAACATCTCAATGTAGGATCACAGGGGCCAGACTGCCCCCTTGATTGGGGTGCTATCGCGTCGAACTCGGGCTGCTGTTCGCGGAATTTCTGTCCCCCCCCCCCTCCCTTCGTTCAGTGACCAGAGCTTTAAATCAGGCTCGTGTTGAGTTGAAAGAAAAAGAAGAAAAAAGTATGTACGTATATATAGGACCACGGAGCTTGGGCAATTGTTGGGTGCTGGTTCTAGCTGCCTTCCAGCGCTTCTGAATCTTTCTCTCTCTTTCTTCCCCATCTGAAAGTGAACAACAACTGCGCACGGTACACATTCTAAATTATTGTTATTCGGGAACTGAACTGAATTTCTGAAGACGCTCCCAGCCCCTGGAGCAAACCCATGGTAGAAACCCGAAATCGCAGAGCCGTACAGCGCAACAGCGAAAATATACACCAGTGGTTTGTGCAATAATAATGAGCTAAGGAAAACGATATGGAGTTTATATATATTTCTAATAAAATGTAACATGCACTGTATGGTAACGTCAATATACCATGGCGTGCTGGTGCGCTGGGGCGTTTCTGGTGTGTCCCATGACACACGTGTTTATACGTTTCCGAGCCATAGAGTGGCTTTGCGCGGCCCGCGGCAATAAAAATAAAGATCAGTTTATTTTCGACCTTGATCTAAACACTGGACAGGTGATGACTTTTAGGCCACGTGGGACACCACCACTGCCGGCGTAGCCCTGGCACGGAGCCCACGAATCCCATGGAAGCCGGGGAAATCTTGCCGCTGCTTAGCGAACGGGTTTTCCCGGTGGCTGTTGGGTAGCTCACGGGCGGGATCCGCAAAGTTGGGCCGCTACTTCGTCACGGATAAGAGGAGTACAATAGCTTTGTTGAATCTAATCAACTGCCGTCTCCTCTACTGATCACATCTGGTTGAGAATTGACGACGTACATTTCATATTCTTAGCTCTTTCGGTAAAGTCACGTTGAAGGGAAACAATAAAATAATAAAATATATATGAAACAATAAAAATGCTCACCCAGGGGCTGGGAGCTTTTGTCAGCGTTTAAGGTAACACGAAAGCATGTGACAGTTAGGGCCACCGCGACAAGGGCCCCCGTCTCCCACCCACTGCTGCCGCCTGACTCAGCACCGGGATTAACCAAATATTAGCTCAAATTCAGGTCCTAATAAACGTTAGAAGTCAATGACATAAACACTAATTCATCTCTCTCATCTCTATCTTGTCTGCAGCCTTCATCTCACTTGGCTTGCATTTCTCTTATCTTGCTTCATCGCTTTCTCTTACCCTCATCTATTGTGTCATCTCACTTGGAGTTCGTAAATTGGGAGGAAGCAGAGGACTAGGCCCAAATATAAGCAACACTCAATGCCTTCATTGGACCAGCACCACCACCGTTCATCAGCATACCAAGTATTTACGCCACTTTGTGGAAGGGAACAAATCACAGACGTAAAACCCCATAGATTCTCGTCTAAATAGTTTCTGGGTGACTCTTAGCCATATGCAAACATTCTGAGGGTGCCTGGATATCCACATCACCCATAACAACCCACGGCGCCCACGGTACCCTCAACACCCACAAGACCCACGGTACCCAACCACCCATGGCACCCATTAGTACCCTGAAAACCCAGGGCCCCCCCACGGCGGCTGTACAGCTGACACCGACGATTGTCGCACCTCGCCTGACTTCGGCGTCACTCGTGTCTCCTGTTTCGTTTTCTTTTTCTTGGCGTCGGGCGCCGCAGGATCTTGAACCACCTCCTCCAGGCTTCCGACGATCCGCAGGTGCTGAGCGTGGCGGCGCACGACATCGGGGAGTACGTGCGACACTACCCCCGCGGCAAGAAGTGAGTGCTCGTGGCGCCAATCGCGTAGCCACTCATCCTTGCCTTCCACGCCGCCGCACCCTTTGTCGCACCTCACTCTGAATGGATGTGTCAAATAATAACAATTTGGCACATTTTGTATCCGCGCCATTCTTATAGCGCAAGGCTATCAACAAAGGTGCTGCGATTCGTAGTCGAAGCCTGCAGTGATTTCACAGTGGGGGCCACGACGCTGCGCACAATCCCAATTGAGTAATTTTGTGGTGCCATTTTTTTCGAATTTGGCAGTTTTGGACCGTGACGCCCGGCACACAATGGCCTGCTCGTTTTCGAATGACGTCGGCGAATCTTTACCGTCCAATGAGTGGCAGACTGGCGCGGAGCGTTTTACGGCGAATGCACGTGCACCGCACTAATAACCAGCGTGGCCTGCCGAATTCAAACCACGAGCCCCTGCAACAAACGGCGAACGCCGCCGCCAGGGCCGCGTCGCCGCCAAATGGGGACGAACGAAAACCTCGGTCGAACGTAACAAAAATAATAAACTTCAAACAAATGTTGAATGCACAACAGAAGGAGTAACGAGGCGATCTGCTTTTGTCTATCGCGCATTCTGCTCGAGCTCTCGCTCCCCCACCCCGCCCGTGCATTTGAGGAGAGGCTACAGTGACGCCCATCGCTTTATTGTCCATTAGGATATCCTTACAAGTGTAGCGCCTCTAGTGGCTGCAGGCGGGCCACTGAGCGTTTGCCGATTCACTCAACCCAAGCAGATGTGCACGGGCGTATGTGTTACGGTGATGGGCGTTCGCCAAGTAGGTGGACTTTGAAGGTAAACCACCCAGCGGTGTTAAATATCATACCAACACCTTTTGACTTGACTATAGGAATCCATGGGGGCGCCACGATGGCGATTTGTTAACTAAGTCACCTGGTATACAGAAGGTCGTGGGTTCGATTCCAATCCTGACGCTGCTATATTTTGAGTTTGCATGTTCTCTCCGTGGTCGAGTGGATTTTTCTCCGGGTCCTCCGTTTTTTGCACTACACATTTAGAATCCACGTGCGTTTAGAGTATTTTGCTGCTTTAAAGTTACCCGTGATGAGCCACTTAGTTGAGCTGTAATTTGTGGCCAGGTCACTTCTGGAAAGAGCTATACAGCTCAGTGGGCAGTGGGCTGTACCTAGTAAAATAAATAAAAATAGTTTAATAGTGTTATAGATAGGGGGAGCTCAGAATTTTACCACCCCACCAAACAGCGATATGGCAGCCCTCCGTCTTCGCCGCACAGGCGAGGAGGAATCTTTTGTGCGGGAAGCTTCATCTCACAGCGGCGCTGCTGCTGCTGCTGCCGCCATTCAACCTCCTCGTTTTGATTTCCCTCCTCAGCAAGCAGCAGTGTGCTGTGTGACATCACTGAACGATGGGGTTATTAAGTCTTAAATTATAAATGAGCGGCAGTGGGTTATTATTTTTTCGCTTGGAAAAGATATATGCTGTATATTAAAAACATGTCCTCCTACTTGTTAGGAGAAAAATAAAAAATAAACCTCAAGTATTTTTCCACTCAATGGTGTGTGCTTTCAATAAATCACCGCCTCACCTCGTACTAAGGGATAATTTGGTGTAACGCCAGTAAAAAAAGAAACATGCTGTTTTTCATTCGTTTGGTCTATATACAATATTAAGCAACCTCGTATTGAAATAATTGCTTTTAGCACGTAGACTCCTGGCAACGAATTCTCAGATTGGCGGCCGGGAGTGACTAAAGCACGGTGCCACGTATTGCGTGCGTTGCAGAGGAAGCCCTTGCCGTGGTGGCATTTCGCTCATGACGGACGATGAGACCGCGATGTTTCGTTAATATGGATCGCGACCCTCGGGGCAATCGGGGACAGTGACGACTCAGAATGGCTGAGGTGGCCCAGATGGCTGAGAAGGCTTGGTTGGTGCCTGGGATGACTGGGGTAGTGCCTGGGATGGCTGGAATAGCTGGGATGGATGCGATGGCTGGGATGGCCGGGATGGCTGAGATGGCTGGGTTGGCTGAGATTGTTGCGATGGCTGAGATGGCTGAGATGACTGGGATGGCTGAGATGGCTGGGTTGGCTGAGATGGCTGAGATGGTTGAGATCGCTGGGGTGACTGGGATGGCTGAGATGGTTGAGATCGCTGGGGTGACTGGGATGGCTGAGATGGCTGAGATGGCTGAGATGGCTGGGATGGCTGAGATGGCTGAGATGGCTGGGATGGCTGAGATGGCTGAGATGGCTGGGATGGCCGGGATGGCTGGGATGGCTGAGATGGCTAAGATGGCTGGGATGGATGAGATGGCTGGGGTGACTGGGATGGCTGAGATGGCTGGGATGGCTGAGATGGCTGGGATGGCTGAGATGGCTGAGATGGCTGCGATGGCTGGGATGGCTGAGATGGCTGGGATGGCTGAGATGGCTGAGATGGCTGGGATGGCTGAGATGGCTGAGATGGCTGCGATGGCTGGGATGGCTGAGATGGCTGGGATGGCTGAGATGGCTGAGATGGCTGGGATGGCTGAGATGGCTGAGATCGCTGGGGTGACTGGGATGGCTGGGATGGCTGAGATGGCTGAGATGGCTGGGATGGCTGAGATGGATGAGATGGCTGAGATGGCTGGGGTGACTGGGATGGCTGAGATGGCTGAGATGGCTGGGGTGACTGCGATGGCTGAGATGGCTGAGATGGCTGGGGTGACTGGGATGGCTGAGATGGCTGAGATCGCTGGGGTGACTGGGATGGCTGGGATGGCTGAGATGGCTGCCATGGCTGGGATGGCTGAGATGGCTGGGGTGGATGAGATGACTGGGGTGACTGGGATGGCTGAGATGGCTGAGATCGCTGGGGTGACTGGGATGGCTGGATTGGCTGAGATGGCTGCGATGGCTGGGATGGCTGAGATGGCTGGGGTGACTGGGATGGCTGGGATGGCTGAGATTGCTGGGATGGCTGGGATGGCTGGGATGGCTGAGATGGTTGGGGTGACTGGGATGGCTGAGATGGCTGAGATCGCTGGGGTGACTGGGATGGCTGAGATGGCTGGGATGGCTGGGGTGACTGGGATGGCTGAGATGGTTGAGATCGCTGGGGTGACTGGGATGGCTGGGATGGCTGAGGTGGCTGGGATGGCTGAGATGGCTGAGATGGCTGGGGTGACTGGGATGGCTGGGATGACTGATATGGTTAGGATGGCTCTGATGGCTAAGATGGCTAGGATAGCTGAGATGAGGGTGGACAGTCTCAGATCTCCACCTCTTCCTGTCCCTTGTTCCGTGTGAACAAGGTGCACCTCGCCTGTCCACGTGACACGAACCCCTTCGTCGTTATGTCCAGACACTCACTTCTCCGTCTCGCGCTTGATCTATCGCCCTCAATTTACCGATCATGCGCACGCTTGCCAAGCCCTCTCATCTCATCGCGTGTCCCAAAAACGTTTCCCCGCTTTTCGCTGGAACGTGTACAAGTGGGCGATCGTTGTTCTTGCTCCTTCTGTTATCTTTCTGTTTTCGGTATTCTGCTTAGAATCCACGTTTTTGTCCGAGCCAACTTTTGTGTTTACTCTTGACTCAATATGTTTCACAGCTGTTGGGCAGTGTTGGCCAAATGTAACTTCTCGCCAACCTCATCTCATGGACACATACAACCTTATAAGCAAGCGCCAAACTACTTCCCATGCGCAAGCACTACATGGGCTTTGTGTTTTTCAATGCTCTCCGGTTAAGCATTCACACATTATCTCTGTCTGTTTCTTACCTGTGATCACTATAACACTTGTAAAGATGAATCGATATAAATGCAATGTTAAGAAAATTCTGTGACGCTGTTAGGGACTTACCCTGTAACAAAAACGGCCACGTTAAAGAATACTTAACAAGTGCATGATTTTGTTGATTACGCTATGGATATCCATTACCAACCGGTAATGGATATCCATTGTAATTTATATTAATCCATTAACCCCCTTCCCCCCTCTGGTTTTCCCACTCGATTGGCCCACAAATGACGACATCACATTGACCCCCACCTCTATTTAAGACCGAAACAGGAGGAGGATTTCTCCACAACTCCGGCTATCGCCTGATGATGCTGGTTGTAATTTCCGGCAAAACGTCACGGTACTAGAATTTTTAATTTTGTTGTGGGTTTACTCTCCAACACACCGGTGTGCTGAACTAGTAACGAGTTGGCATGTTTTGTTTACGTCACAAACCTTATTTATTAGCTGTGTCGGGCGGCGGCAAGTTTAACAACACATTTATATTTATGCGATCTAATAAATAATAAACCTCTATTATGGCGTGATTCTGCTTCCCTGTTTTCTCTTTGTGTGCGTTCAATGATACGCTCAAATGCTCGGGCTGTTGATCCGAGCGTCATCTCTACTGTCTCACTCTACTCTCAAACATTTCACCAAAAAGCTTATTCCAAACTCTTCCGAATCGTATATGTGTAAATGCGTAAACTAACATGGATATATTATTTGATTCACATGTTCGGCGTTTTGTTAACTGCTAGATGATGGCCTTTCCATGCTGTGTGGGTAATGGGGTTATTTGGCCATACTTCACCACGCTGGTCAGTGCGAGTTGGCGATGGCGGGGAGCGTAGACATAGGAGCATAGAAGTATTAAACAACAACGGATTTTGCTGAATTATAATATTACGTGAGGCCACAGGATAATTTTATTGGCAAAAGTGTCTTCAATGTCCACACCATACTCTGTCCACCCAGGAGTATAAACGGGGCGCCATGGTGGAAAGATGTTCACTGCCTCACCTGGCACACAGGAGGCTGCGAGTTCGATCCTGAGCCCTGACACCTGCTGTATATTTGGGGCTTGCATGCTCTCCCCGTGGTCGCGTGTATTTTTCTATGGTTCCTCCGGGTTTTTCCTCCACATTTAAAAACATGCTTTTCGAGTATTTGGCTGGGAAACATGTGCACGTGATAAGCCACTTTGTTGGGCTATCATTTGTGGCCAGGTCG